TTCACAATAGCCAAGACATGGAAACAGCCTAAAGGTCCATCAACAGATGACTGGATAAAGATGTGGTATATTTATACAATGGAATACTATTCAGCCATAAAAACCGACAACATAACGCCATTTGCAGCAACATGGATGCTCCTGGAGAATGTCATTCTAGGTGAAGTAAGCCAGACAGAGAAAGAAAAATACCATATGAGATCGCTCATATGCAGAAATTAAAAAACCAAAACAAACAAACAGAAACATAAATACAAAACAGAAACAGATTCACAGACACAGAATACAAACTTGTGGTTGCCAGGGGGACGGGGGTGGTGGGAAGGGACAGACTGGGATTTCAAAATGTAGAATAGATAAACAAGATTGTACTGTGTAGCACAGGGAAATACATACAGGATCTTGTGGAGGCTCACAGAGAAAGAGAAGGCAACAATGAATGTACGTATGTTCATGTATAACTGAAAAATTGTGCTCTACACTGGAATTTGACACCACGTTGTAAAATGACTGTAACTCAATAAAAAAACATGTTAAAAAAAAAAAGGAACTTGACTCAGGATCGAGCCTTTCGGAGCCACAACTTAGAATCCTGAGCAAGATAATGACGTGGTGTCGGGTAAGGACAGAGAACTCCCCAGTGCAACAGCTTATCTCTGGAGGGTAAACTGGGCTTTAAATGCCAGGCTAGATTATCGACCCTCGGGTGTCTCAACTTTGGACAAACACAGGACTCACGCTTTTTCCGTTTATTCCAGTTCCACAGGATGCAGAAAACTGCGACGACCAGGAGGATGGCGAGGAGTCCCGCAAACCCCGAAAAGATGTTGCTGCTCTGGTCTTTAGCTCTGCGAGGAAAACCAAGGGCCGTGCCCCAGCCATGGGTGGGGGGTGGGCTGGAGAAGATGATTCCTTTAGGAGGTGGGGCCCCAGGCTTTGGAATGGGGGCCCAGTGATGGAAAGCGGAGGCGGGGTGGGCAGTGTGGTGGAAGAGACGGCCATCTCCTCATGGACAGAGGGAACTGGGACGTGGCAGAAGGGACCGTCCCTTTTGAACGCCAACTGGATGCCAGTGGTTTGCCTGGGATCCTCATTTAATCTTTGCAACAATCCCATCTCTCTTTGCAGCCAAGGAGCCAGCGAGTTAGATTCAGAAAGACAGAGCCGCATGGCAAAGGTCACACAGGTGGGAAGATGCAAAGATGGACTGCGTCTAGGTCTGTTTGGGTCCAACGATCGTGCCCTTTCCGCTACTTCACACTGTCTTTCAAACTTGTAAAGTCAAGTCCATCTGCCCCGTTTTGCCTCGTTCCCTGTTCCCGGGCTTCCTGCCTTGATCGGAGGTTACCCAACTTGCAGCTAGGAAGTGGCCTGGTGACAAGAGTCCAGATTGCCTGCACTTGAATAACCCCTGCAGCACCAACTTGCGGAACTGGTCTCCAAGCCACACTCCGCTGTTCTGTGGAATTTAACCAGTGCAAACGCACGGAGCGAGCTGTGTGCTACTTGTACTTTTCAGGGAGGGCTGGAGGCACCGCTCTGCTTTGCCTCCTGTAACAGGAACCAGCCAGCGGAGGTCACAGAAGGAATCGTTAGCAGACCTGCTCCCACGAATACTAGAAACCCGGTCACCTACCAGGGAAGGCTTTTGTCTCCTGAGTTCTAGGTGTGTCCACCCACCTTCTACTGGACATCTCTACTGGGTCTGAGACACATCTCAAACCAAATACGCCTGTAACAGAACTCCTGTTCTTCCGCATAAGTCTGCTCCCCTGTGGAGCCATCTGATGGCTGTGTCCCGTCACCTAATGGCTCGGCCAAAAACCATGGAGACATCCTTGAACGTTTTCTTTCTTTCACTTCCAGTTAACCAGCAGATTCCGTCTACTCAACCCTGGGCACCTATCCCAAAGCAATCACTTCTAGTTCCTCCATTGCCACCACCCTGGTCCGAGCCACCATGAGTTCCACAGGGACCTTTGCAATAACTTCCCTAAAGGGTCTCCTCGCTTTCACTCTTGGCCCCAACACACTGTCTCCACACGTGATCCTCTGCACAGTAAATCAGATCGTGTCCTTCCTCTGTTTTCAACCCCCCACGCCTCCCATCACACTTGGGATAGCAGCCACAGTCCCTACCCAGCGAGGACCGCACAGCATCTGCGGTTCTGGCCTCTGCCTGCCTCTGGCCTCGCTGCGCACCACCTCCCCTCTGACTTGGAGGCCAGGACTCCTTCCTGCTCCCTGCAGAGCACAGCCCTGTCTCAGAGCTGCTGCTCCCTTTCCTACGGCTCAGCCCCTCATTTCACGCAGGTTTCTTGTGAAGTGTCACCCCCTTGGACAGGTCCTCCCTGGCCACACTCTCAGCCCCCTTACTCTGCTCTGGTTTTTCTCCTTAGCACTTATGAGTGACAGACATTATATTACACATGCATTTGTTTCTCTGTTTATAGCTGACTCTCCCACTTGGCTCCAGGAGGTCACGGACTTGTCTGTCCTGTTCACCTGGTGCCTGGAACAGTGCCTGGTACTCAGTAGGGACCTGATGAATATTTGTTAAATGAATGCATGAGTGAATTGACAAACGAATGAATATAGAAATAGTTTTTTCGGCAGGGGAGGGCTGCAGGGTTCTGACACTTTATGAATTCATTCTGCATCAATGCCCCTGTCTGCCTGCAAGTGACATGAATTTGTTCGTCACAGTAGTAGCATTTACCGCCCCAAACTACAGTGATTCTGTTTATTACTGTTGAGTTGTACTGTTATCATAGCATTGAAATGTACACCTCCCACTGGTAAAGTTTCAATTGCTGATGGACTTTTAATTTTTGTCAATATGTCACTGAAAGTTTTAGCAGTAAAATTTACAACTACAATTAGTTCTGTGAGCTTTTATGTCCTAAAGACGTACCTTTATCATATCTATGAAGACATTTTTATTCATCGTAAGTTGTTAGGACCTAAGGACACATCTTTGGGAAAAGTGGGCCTTTTGTTTCCATCAGGGTGGGAACTAGTTTTTGTTTTTGTTTTGCTGAGGTGTGATCAGTGAGATCAGAGACAGGAAAGAGGGAAGGCAGCTGTCAGGATTTCTGAGAGTGAGAAACTCAACGGGGCCAGGCACACTTCCTCTCCTGCTGACCACTCCTTCTCCATCTCCATACGCACCCCTTTCCTCCCAGCAGTTCTGAGCAAACCTCTCTGCGCCTAGAGCTTAGTGGTCTCGGGATCTGAGCCTGGTTGCGAGGGCCGCTGTTAGGGTAGAGGCCTTCCAGGGTAGCCCAGGGCCCTGTAAGTCAGGAGAGGCGAGAGCTCACCACCCCGGCCACTCACCTGTCCGGGCCGCCGAGGGTTACCTGCAGAGTGCTGGGCTCCGAGGTTCTCCCTCTGATTTCTGAAAGGGTCTGAGTGGTGACCTCCATCCTCACAGGGGCCTCTCCAGCTGCAGCTTCTCCTTCCAAGCTTCCTCTTTAATCAATCATCAGCTACCCAGCATGCCTGCCACTTTTCCTGACTCTTCCTTAATTGCTGACTCCCAGGAGAGAAGGCAAAATAAGCTGGTGTTCCACATACAATCCTGTGTGCTATAACCACTTCCAGTAGGTAAGAAGGAGAGAAGCCCTTCTGGCCTCCACGTCTTCCAAACACTCCTTACCATATAACTTTTTACTCTCAAAATTTCCTCTTAGATCTTGATTCACCGAAGCCTCACACACACACACACACACACACACACGCACACGCGCACACACACACACGTCTACTGGTTTTTATTTCTTCCTTTGTAAAGCTTCCCATCTTTCTTTCTAGAACTTTCTCTCCCCCAAAACTCCCTCCCTTGCGTGCATCCTGGAAATGTGAGGCCGAGTTGACCCAGAATGCAAAGCAGGGTTGGTTCTACC